ATTCTTGTTAATAATCTTATTAATATTCTTATTCATCATTTTAATCCTTTTAATTAGTGTTTTATACCCCTTATCGCATTGCTGTAAAATAAATTACTGATTCTCGGCTAGTTGAACGAGAGATATATCCCCCAAAGAAACTGCAAAATGTACATACATTTCATTGCAAGCCCCTTTTTTACCTGCATTTCATCAACATTACCCTCTATCATTATTTAATTGCTACTGTTTTCATTATTTAATTGCTACTGCTGGACATCTATTACCATGGATTACCCTCTATGATAAGAGTGCTGTTTTAGAGAACTCTTTTTTCTGTTCTAAAAACCACCGGTTTAGTAGAACTGTTGAAATGAAGAACTGCTGTTTTATTATGAAGGTAAAAGCAGAATTGATAACCTTTTTGGCTAGTTAAGTTCTTTCCCTTAACGAGTTCGAGTCTTCTTGAATTGTTAACCAATCAAGACGATGCTTGTTCTCGATTGAGTTAATACAGTAAGCACACAGTGAGACGGATATCAAGAATCCGCCAACAATCTTTACTGCATGACAAGGGGTTGTTCGTTTTGTTGGAAAGCCTTCCTTCCGTAGCTATCCCTTCACACTTTCCTTGATTTTCTCTCTCTGTAATGAGCCGCTATACTTATCTGGCTATAAACAAAGCTTTTCGTGTTATTTTTCGTACCAGTTACCACTCTTGTTCAGTGATCTGGTTAATGCAGTAGATATTGGTAGATCCTTTGAAGAATCGTCCCATTATTTATACTGTCCAGGATCTGCTTTAATATCGAGACCTTGCAGTTATTTTAAACTTTAAACTATCAAAAATCAGAGTGAATAGGAAGTCAGCCGTTTGAACTTGTTTCCTAATAAAGACATTTTTTCGTCAAAGCATGGATTCGTTTTGATGTTTTCTGTACATTTATCTCAGGTATTGGAGTGGTAACAACAGTTTCTCTTCTCTTCTTTATTCTGCTTCTCTTAACGTTTCTCTAACCTTCTTACCCCCAGTACCTGGTAAATTTCGCACGAATAGCCATCGGAGGTGTCATCGGAGAAGTCCTATAAGAGACATTGTACTAAACAGTAAAATATGCCCGATTTACAGTATGCAAATTATATTGGATTACCTTAAGCAACCACAAAAAGTTTTATGCTTCATTTTATACAGTTTTCAAACAAGACTTTTGTTGACAAACTCAAACATGCACTCGCAAAGATCGCGGCCTACCAGATTACGTTTCTAGACTCAAAAAAATTACGGTAAAATTAACTATAACTATCTATGAGGTTCAGAAAGCGAGCGATGTGACAATTAAGATAATTTACCATTTTGCCGGCATAGAGCGGAGGGTTGTGTGCGGGTTTAGGTGTGAGGTGAATAGTTGAATTAGAGTTTGTATGTCTTTACAAGAGTGAGACATTATGTGGTCAGCCTTCGCCACGTGCACAAGTCATGTTCGTCTTCTTTTTCTTCGTTATGCACCAATGTGGGTTTCGTTTTATTTCTTTAGTGCTGTTATATAAAATTAGATCCCCGTAAGATCCTATATCACCAAGTATTTGTATGCAGTACGTTAAATTAGGATACCCAGTAAAATCTCAAGGGTGGCACCAATTCCTTGTTCGGGGGCTTACTTTTTCCACCTGTTGGTTTTTAGAGGTTTCGTACTCGACTTTGGTTCACTTAGCTTTCACACTTCAGTAACAGTCTGCGTTACCTTTAATGATTGAAAAAATAGCTTGGTAGCTTGGCTGACCAACGCGTCCAAAATGATCACGTGTATCTGGACGTGCAGTGGAGGATAAATTCCCACTTTGAAACTACAAGTGGGGGGGTGGGGGGTGGGGTAGAATACTTTCCTTCGGTGGTAATGGGATCAGTTTAGTGGACAACTTCTGTAATAGCTATAATGCCGGGTACGCGCATGCTCGTTGGATAAACTGGAGTTCACTTGAGTTCACCGAAGAATTTAAATTTTTACTTAGGACTAGTTCCCAGGGCAAATGGTTTGAGTCATCAACTGTTCACAGCCTGGAGTGTGTGGAGCCCATGCTCCAAGACGTGTGGAGTTGGATTTCGGGTTCGGAAACGCTCCTGCATTAATCCTAGGCTCTTCCCTACTGGCGGGCTGTGTACCGGGCTTTCCATTCAACATCAATCATGTTTTGACCGAGCGTGTCCAGGTAAGAAAACTGTATCTCTGAGTGACTGTGCGNTTCTTTAACTTGGCATTTAGTATATATCTTTAGTTTATCCGAGTTAAAATTTGTATTTATCATCTGATCAGTAACAACTTTACTTTCAACAATCTAGGATTTCACTTTCCTCGAATTCCCAGTTTACATGGTGCTACTGAAACTGCTCTCGCTCGTGCACTGGCTGTAGGTAAGGAAACAATCAAGAGTGCTTTGATCAATGTAAAAGTCTTAGTAAATCCCAGGTTGGATGTTATCAATCACCCGTGTTGGCTGCCAGTGTACAGGTGCATAAGATATGTTAGCTTTACATTGGTGTCAGTTGAATTGTATTGCTATAAGGGAGGCAGTGATTAAGGACTTTTTTTCCACTTCGATATAGACGGGGGATACAGTGACTGGTCAGAGTGGGGTACCTGTGACAGATCGTGTGGAGGAGGTGCACAGGTACGGACTAGAATCTGTAACAAGCCCATTCCCTCTGGGGGCGGAAAGATGTGTCATTCATTAGGTCCAGCCATTCAAGTTCGACGCTGTAATCGTCATGGCTGCCCAGGTACGGTCTTGTGTGATTTTAGTATAAACGATATAAAACTCAGATAATCCAGACAAAATTTAATATGTTGGGGTGAGGATCAATACACCTCACATTACATAGACAATTAGAAATAAGAAATCAAACTCTTCAGTCGGCTACTAATCTAGAACTTACCTTCAGCAAAGATTGAAACAAAATCAAAACTTGCGATAGCAAGGAATACTTTTAACGGGCCACAAAATTTGAGAAAGCTAAGTTCTCCAGCAACGAACTTAGCACGGATAGAAGACTTTTGGAGAAACTGCATTCCAATTTAAGTTGAGTGGGATCAGTAGTCATGAATGCTCGTTTTCGTGGATGCGGCCACTGGCGGCCATTTATCCTGAATGAAAAGGGCGGGAAAAATGTAAGTCGCAAAAGCAGTAACATTTAACGCTGGAGTTTTACTTACCTTCAGTCGTAGACAGTGATGTTTTGCGATATCCCAGTCAGCTGGTGATTTCGTGGTAGATGTCTTTCGTTTCCAGAAGGAATGAAGCAGATAAATTGGAAATGAAGCTCAAAATTACGCCCTACCTTGAAACAAGGTCTAGTCGACATGGTCGTGGACGTTGTCTAGTCAGCTAACTCGACGCATGCGCTCCACGTTCTCTCGTACCAATCCGTAACGACCATGAGTGACGAAAGAGTCGAAATGTTTACTTTATCTCACTTCACATAAGTTAGCCTGTTAGATTGCCTTCAGAAGTGTGTGACTGTGTTTATACTTGTTGTTTTCCACAGTTGATGGAGGATATAGTCCATGGAGCGGGTTTGGTCCTTGTTCAAAAACATGTGGCAGCGGACGCTTTCAACGCCGCATGCGAACTTGTACAAATCCTGTACCAATGAACGGCGGAAAGCCATGTTTTGGACAACCTGTCCAAACTAGAGCCTGCAGCATACGGAGCTGCCCAGGTACTCTAAAGTGTAGACAGATTCTGGCACGACTCGACCCCCCATTAGCAGGGTTTTTTTCCGATTTTTTGGGGGGACTAAATAGTGTACTGTGACTCAGATTTTGTAGTCTGTCAACAGATTCCCTGGGCTGGTTGCTCTTATCGCCACTTTTCCGTCTTATACCCTCGTGGGATATAGTCGCTGTCTTAGCTATAGGATAAGTCATTCACTCTGTATAAATCTCTACTGAAAGGATGATGATTGGCTACCTGCGAATTGTTGAGGCAACCCGTGTCGGGGGAGTGGGCGGTGCAATGGCCTAGCATCCCATATTGGGGGAGTCACTATAATCCATGTCATAATTTTTAGGAAAGTTTATTTTTTGCTGCTTACAGAATGCGCAACGGTGCCGGCACTTAAGAGTCATCTGGCTTATCCGGTTCATGGGATTATAACGGACTAATTTCTCATCTGTTGTCTTATAACACAGTAGATGCGGGGAGACAACTGGATCATTTCTGACTGTATATATTCTTGAAACCTGAAGTACTTATCTGATTCATTCAATTGTTTATTTTACGTAGTTGATGGAAGATACGGTATGTGGTCACCATGGTTACCTTGTGATGCAGATTGTGGTGGAGGGATTCAAGAGAGAAACCGCTTTTGTAATAACCCGGCTCCACAGATAGGCGGAAAAGACTGTGCCATGCTGGGCTCTGACAAACAGACACGCCTGTGCAACCTGTTCCCTTGCAATGTTAATTTTCAGTGATACAGCCGCCATTTTTTGGAATTTCAGGTGAAGCACCGAGTCACCAAGTCACCCGTCAAATCGATCACATTACGTCTACAAAGAACTCCATTGGCTGGCCAAAACCAATATTAATTCATCATTATCATCATCATCATTATCGCCATTCATCGCTGGCCATCCAACATGTACAAAAGCTGATCAATATACACTGACGATGATCAAAACGAAGGCATTCATGCAATGTCATAATAACCCTGTTGTTCGGCAATAAAAGTACGAAAAGTTAATAAAGAAAGAATTAGTTCCATTGTCCTGGCAGTTAATGCATGCATTGTAAAACAGGAAGCTTGCCGTCAGCTCGACTTTCAAATTAATTATTGTTACCTAGCAACAATACTGACTATGAACAAAAAATTGCAGGTTCTTTCAAGATTGACTTTACATGCTGGTCCAATTCGAATTATTCTTGTTTAATCATTCAGCCATAGCTAATATGATGCTGCAGACCAGAAAGTTATTCATTGCCTCTTTTTCGGAGCGTATGATCAGAAACTTCAGAGCACTTTCAAACACACAGAAAAATCTCGTTATTGGTTTACATGTGAACAGTCGCCTGAACATGTCAGGAATGTTAGTATTAATTACCGTTTTGAAGCATTAATATGTAGTCACTCCATTAGTAACTTCAATGCCCGTTATACATGTCTTCAGTTTAAAATACATATATATTTGCGAACAACTGAATATGTTCTTCGTGAGCGGAAAATTCGTCACAGTCGGGATTCACTGTATGGGCGCTGAAAAACTGCTTATCATACAGGAACGAAAATTTTTTTGACAAAGTATGTCAACTTCAATCAGGTTCAACTGATGAGTCAAGTAAGAAATTACCAGAAGAGTTACTAGACTGTGAGCATTGACAACCAATGTAGGGAAGAATAAAAAGTCTGTTATGACGTAGCGAGAAGCTCGCGAGGACAAAGTTGGCAATCATGGTTGCTCTCCATAAAAGAGAGATGGAATGTAGAACGGGGTAGCAGTCTTATGTAATATGTATTATATACACTTCTACGCATTCATTTATTTTTTGCCACTCCACACAAATGGCAAAGTTCCAGCAATTTTCTTAAAATAATAACAACTATAAATTTAACAAAAACTAAGGATTCTGTACACAAAGGAAGACAGGATTGATCAGTTCAAGCGTTTGAGTTCAAGCTCAGGTGTCAAATCACTATCATTAGGCTGATTAGCACTCCGTGGCGTCCGTTTAGTCTAATCAACACTCCGATTGGCTTAATAAGCATTCCAGTTGCCCCGAGAATGGCAAGCTTTCATTTGGGTGTAAGAGTAGAGCCATATACATGTATTTATCTTTACACTACATATAGTGTACAAATTGTTTCGTTCTCCATTTTAGAGGTGTGATTGCTTCAAACAAGGCCACCACACAAAATTCTGTGTAAATTGACAAATGAAAGTCTGAGGTAGAAACAAGAGACTTTCAATTAATTATCAATCTAAGCAAGCTGCACGCTGCAGGAGCAGTCAAGATGAAGGTGCAGACTCTTCCTGGGATATTGCAATAATTAAATAGTTTTATCAAGAACTGGACTTGAAACTCAAACTCATGAAAGGAAAGAGAGGTAAAGAACTGCAGTTTCGACTGTGCTCTGTTTTGGTAGGGTACATGGACAACATGTAAAACAGGTTTAGAGGTTAAATCTTCGGTATTCGACCCAAGAGGTAAATAAGTGTCCATATTTTACCACAGTTCGTAGACTGTGTCATTGATAGAGTTCTAAAATCTGACTTAGACATGTATATATTAGCAGAATTTTTTCCTCCCAGATTTCTTTCTGTCCTTTTTGACTTTTATAACTCCTGATTGTTCATTGGCCTTTGCTTGTTGTTCTTTCTTCTGCCGTAAAACCATGCGAGTTATTGCATTGAACACCTGGAAAAAAACAAGCATTAAGCAGTCAGTATAATAAAATGGTTGACTCTTTCAAGAAATAGTCACTTAAGGCGTTCCTAATTATGACTGACTGGTGAAAGACTGTCCAACTGGCTTACCAAATAAGTAGTTGACTGTTGTTGCTGTTATTATTGTTGACTGAAGGATCGACTGACTGACAGACAAACAGACAGACAGACAGACTGACTGACTGACTGACTGACTCATTGAAGCAGAGTTCCTTTGATTAATGAAACTTTTGAATTTGGTAATATTTGATAAATACTACTCATTGTTTTTCTTAAATTGAACTTTATCTGGGAAATTAACTACATGAGCATGTCCTATAGGCTGAGTCACACTTTGCTCTAAAAGTATTCTTGAACAATGTATCTTGTTATGAGTGTCTTCCAGAGAAAAATGAGGGTAGTCTGTCATGTTTTTCTAAGGCAAAGAAAAGGCTCTATAAATTTACCAAATTATCACATACCTCTTCTACATTTTTGTTATCTTTTGCACTTGTTTCAAACACTTGGATCCCCATTTGTTCTGCAAACTTCATTGCATCCTCTTTTTCAACAACTTTCCTTTCCGGATTATCATCTTTGTTACCAACTGTGTAGTGACACCAAGAGAGGTAAAACAGATTTTCACCACAAAACAATCTATCCCCTGACCAAATTATCAAGAGAACAGTCAATTGAAAGTAATAACCTCTCTATATGAGTCATTATCTGAGTTGTCACGCAAGGCCAAATGCTTTTTGTTAAAAATATTTTGTGTATAGCACATTGTGGTCCCCCATTTCCTTCAGAGGACTAATGCTCAAAGGAAAATATGAAGATATTTTTCCAGCACCTCCATTTACCTTACAGTAACTTCTCTGCCTCCCCTCAATATTCTGCTTAATGCTTTTCTTTCTTCATTGCCCAGCATTTAATTCCCATTCAATACCAAAATTTGAATTAACATTTATTTATGTTATTACATTGAACATACTCACCCAAAATTCTCACAACTTCATCGCAATTTTGATCAATTTCATGTAGCCATCTTTTCACATTAACAAATGTGTCAGCACTTGTCACATCATACACCACAATAACTCCATGTGTTCCTCTGTAATACCTAACACAGATACAGAACTAACCAATGAATTATTGTTGTAGGAGACATGTCTGTAGTGCACTGATATTCATCAAAATCTACATCTTTCATTTGCCTCATTATTTATAAATGTAAGTCTTCTTTGCATCTGAATTGGGGAAGTACAGTGGCCTTATAATTATTGTGCTGGACTCCCGACCCAGTGTTCTGTATTTGAACTCTGGCTAGGGCTACTGTGTTGTGTTCTTGGGCAAGAAACTTTACTCTCACGGTGTCCAGCAACTTCAACGGGCTAACCAGGACCAGCCAGCCAGAATGCTGGCGAGTGATCTGTGATGGACAACCATCCCATCCAGAGAGCGGAGCCATACTCCTAGCCGCTTCATGATACAGAAACTGGAGTTATTAAAGGCCTGAGAGATATAAACCAGTCTGGATTAAGAGGCTTTACTTTATGCATCTGAAATGTCGATGTTACCTGTATAGGAACCAAGATCCTGCCTACAGGAAGTAGCAATACTCCTAGGCTACTCCAATCCACTCAACAGGAAAAGACATTGTACTCAATGCAGATTAAGTAATCCTGCGTTATTGATAGTTATTGCAGCAATATTAATGCTGAGATCAAGTACATCCAAACACAATTTTACAGTAGCAATCACCAGCTCAGTTACCCAAGCCACCTTCAAGTTAATGAGGAAGAATGAGAAAAATACTCAGTGGAAAAAAACCGTAAATATGGAGAATGCCAATATCCTTCAAACCTGTTTATTCTAGCATTCAATACCAATATTAAAATCATAATCAATTCTCAGATGTCAAAATATTTTAACAACAAAACAAGATGATAATGTATTTTCTACCACAAGTTTTGAAAGTACAGTGTAACTGTAACAGCTATAAATTGCTCAGAGCGTGTTACTTACGTCGATGTTATGGTACGGAATCTTTCTTGTCCAGCTGTATCCCAAATCTGTAATTTCACCATTTCACCATCCACATTGATCTTTCTTATCTTAAAATCCACACCAATAGTCGTAATGTACGATCCTGTTTCCAATAGTAAACCAAATAGATTCTAATGATTTTTCAAGTTAAATCACATATAGTGTATCAACAATAACCTACATTTGGAGAAAAGTATAAACAGACACAAGCACATGGACATTTGTGACAGTAAAGTGCAAGGCTAACAAAATTTAAAAAATTGGTAAGTGGTAAAAAATAGTCGCCAACTGCAAATTATTAGTTGTCATATTGTAAAGTAAATGACGTAATAAATGCTCAAGGGTTTGCACTGCAGTAAAGGGCGAAGCAAAAGGATGGATTGACTCTGTGAACGCATTATTTAGTGTGCCCTAAAATAAAGAAGCTGCAAAATCAAACATGACAATCCAGTTGGCGATCAAAGAATCATGGGTTTGTTTTATTACATCTATTTGAATAAATCATATCTTTCATCCACATGTAAGGTCGCTTTCCTCCGAGGTTAAAAGATTGACGAAAGAAAAGGTGAGTCGCCCACTGGTGACCGTTTCTTAGTATCTGGTTGCAATCACTCGATTTCTGGTTGCATTGGTGACCAGTGAGTCATAATTTCACACCCTGACAGACAGAGAGTGCTGTATTATAAGTGTTAATTTAATGTATTATTTTTTGAATATTTTCACATAACACTGATTTTTTTTGGAAAGACTCAGTTCAAGCTGTCAACAGAAAGAAATTCTGTTGTACATATAGTGTACAAGATTGACAGCTTCACAATGTAAAATTTTAAAATGCTAAAGAGCCCTCATTCTTTAGTCCTTAACAGTGTACAAAAAATGTCACGTGTTCACAGTTCAAGAGTCGTCAGTGCAAAACCTTTTGGTACACTACTATTACATATGCTTTCAAACTTTCCCAAAACGGTACATCGAGGTAAAAACATTATCAAGCAATTTAATTTACCCTAAATTTCCATTTTAGTATCAATCAACATCGAAACTCATTACAAATTTAGGTTACTTTACCTGAAAACATATTATCGGCAAACCTGAGGAGCAAACTGCTCTTTCCAACACCTAGGTAGTGAAATAAATCTTAGGTTAGAGGAGAAGAGAAAGCATACATGTAAACATTTTAAACTCGCAATCACACTAACACAGCTTTACATAAAGTGCAAGGGACATTATATGTGGCTCTCATGTACATATAACTGGACTAAAACCTGAACCTGCTAAGTTGGTAGAACTGCTATCATCTTTGTGACTGCATAAGTTTCAGAATAATGGCATATGTACTAAAACCAGGAACACCGAAGCCTTACAAATAGGCAGTAACTTGGCAGTAAATTAGAAGCTGTTTATGATATCTGCAGACCAACCTTTTGAGGGTCTCAGTACATGTACTACACGACAACTAAGATCTCTTTCACATTAGTACATTTCAATACACGCTACACTGTTGTCACGTACAGCTCAGTTGAACTGATACTGCGCTCACTATCACCCAGATATCCCATGTTTTGTTTTCTGGACACTCTTAGTAACTACAAGATCACTTACTGAGTGCTCTCTCTCTATAGTGCGTACACATACACATTACTGATGTCAAATTCACTCTTTAAAAACTTACGTTACGTACGAGATCGACATAAACGTTTTGTCAAAAATGTTTACTCTTAAAATATTTTACTAGCATTACAGAAGAACTGTCTGAGCAAACAATGAAACAATAAATTTTCTAAATAGCTAAAATAGAGCTAGTTCTTACCAATATGTGATCGAATTAACATGTTAACTTGATTTACAATTCGTCAGAAAACGAAGCTTACAAGATCATTCATGTTACGTTTTAGTTACAATGCAAAGTTGACCAGTTTGTTTAAAACTGCTTTATCAATCGACCGGGGCCCGCTTTTCACAATGGCCACGCTACAGAGAAGAGAATTATGTGTGTACGAAGACACCAATATATTATCACAAGATTTTACAATGGAATAGTTTGTTTGGGCGCCAATGAGTTTTCACAAACTGTTGTGGGTTTGGACGAAGCGATGTCAGATTTCACCGGTTCATCTTGAGGCCACCACGAAACTAGTACTCACCACTATCTCCAATGATTAGGAGCTTGAATAAATGATCATAATCCCTCGCAGCCATACCACAATACTCATTTAAAATATATATAAAAACCTATATAGAACAAGGAATATTTCGCCTTTGCTACCACAGGAAGTAAGCTTATATGAGAAGTCCAATGAAGTTTTGATCACGTGGTATTTCGAGGTGGGGCTTAGCTCTAACCAGTTTTCACACGGCAGCTAGCAAAGGCTTGGCTTCCCGGCGCTTCTTTCAATTACGTAACCTGGCCAACTAAGTGGAACGCCTTGCAATGAATGTGTTTTTCGTTTGAACCTGCAAGTCCTGGAAAATGAGCCTTTTGCGATTGAACAGGCTGTTTCAACTTGTCCATAAGCAACGCATTTGCCTTAAAAGTGGCCACATGCTAAGATGCCAAAATAGTTTACCATACAGTACTATATATGGAAGGTACCAAAGAAAGTTTGTTTCAACAGGAAGTTTTTGAGGGCTGAAAACGGAAGGGAAGATCATGTTGAAACTACACCCTCGCTGAGGCTGGCTAAAGATTTAATTTTTGTTTGACTGGGGAAAACTGGGAGGAAGGAGTCAGATTTCTCTCTCGATTTGAATTTAGAAAATAGATGCAACGAAGCCTTATTCAGCAGTTATTTAGTTGCTTTTTAATATTGAGAAAGGAGTTCTCGATTTATGATGTTGATCATTGACCAAGCACATGTAAAATCTGAACCTAATTATCATAAACATAGCGTTCTATTAAAACTCTAACATACATTTGCTCAAATACCAGATTTCACAGATAAAAGCCTCAATGTCTATTCAACTACCAAGTGACCCACGAAAGCAAAAAAATATATGTGTTGTTGCCTTCTGGGCAATGAGGTTGTTGACTGTCTATTTCTTTTCTAATTAGTTCAGCGGTAAGGTTAGCTTATGAAAGCATTGATGCAACCACTGATGGGGAAAAGCTACCTCCTCTGGTTATTCTGCATGGCCTGTTTGGATCCAAACAAAACTGGAGAACACTTGCCAAACTGTTCCACAAGGAAACTGGTAGGCAGGTAACCATCACATGCTTTTTTTTTTGATATTTTTCTGGCCTCTTTACTTGTAATGTCTTACCACTGAGATTAGGGTTGGGCCTGTCTCCACTTTTTTTGGACCTTTTCAGTAAATTATGGCCAGTTATAATATGCATTTGCATTTCATACATGGAGAATGTGTGGCTTCTTGTCCAATTGTAAAAGGATTGGTGACTTCAAGGGGAATTGAATATCCTACCACCTAGCACTCTACAGATGATAGTCCTGTAACCTGTTTCTCGTTCTCTTTGTTATAGATAGTAACAGTTGATGCAAGAAATCATGGAGAAAGCATGCACAGTCCAGAAATGAACTATTTTGTTCAAGCTGTTGATGTATGGAATTTGTTCCAAGAGCTGGAGCTTTCCAGGGCAGTGCTGATGGGTCACAGTATGGGTGGAAAAACATCAATGACATTTACTCTGTGTCATCCTGAATATGTGCACAGCCTCATAGTTGTTGACATGTCTCCTGCCAAAATTGGTGTGGATAAAGATATCCCAAGTTATTTAGCAGCAAAGCGGGGAATGAATTTAAGTCTCATCAGGGACAAACGAGATGCTGAAAAGATGTTGGTGGATGTCGTACCTGTGAGTAAATATTTTAGTGATGGAACGATTGCACAATGATGCTAGGTAATGACTGACTAACAGCTAATAATTCATTAGCTGAAAAAGAGTCACTGACTGAAATTTCACTAAAAAACAGTACTGGAGGTTATTTTGAGCCTACATAGTTTATTCATAGCCACGTCCCAGCGTTCAGTCCATACATGTCAAAAGCCAGGGCTTTTGAAAGTCAACGAGTGTACAAGTGTGGCACTGCTCAATTTGTTCTAACCTACACACTTGCAGTGATGCTCAATAATTCTAACAATCCACAAATCCCTGTCCAATCAGATGCTTTCCCCCACATAATTTG